GATTCCTCCTCTCTAATTGCATCCTCTTCCCCTCCCCCTGCTCGCTCACCCTCTCTCTGCTCGCCCTTCCCTGCACCTCCCCCCGAGGGAGGCGCAAGAGAAGGCGAGGATGGAGAGGGGGAGCGAGCAGGGAGAGGGGGAGGGGGGAGAATTGGCTGATATTCGCGGTTGGCTGCAAGGACGGGTCCGCATTGGTAGATCCCCTGGGCAGCGCTGAACGAATGAGGAAGTTTGATTTAAGACACCAAAAAGAAGAGGGTTACGGATCTGCGGAACTGTGCAGGGAAGCACCGGCCCAAGGACCGTACAACTGGTCCGTTGCATTGATGTCTTTGCCCTTCCTCCTCGTCACCTTGCCTTTCCTAACGATCCAAGCGGATCTGAGGGCGAGGAGGAGGGGGTCGAGGAGAGAGGCGAAGCGAGGAGGGAGGAGGACAGGAGGAACGAAGAGGGGAGGGAGGGAGGGAGGGCGGGAGGGAGAAGGGGAAGGACCAGGCCCACAATTAACCCAAACAACACCAACGATGCTGCAGTAGACCCCCCCGTTCCGAGTAGTAGCCTTGCATTCAGCTACAAGGAGTGCCCCCTTGAAATGCGAACTATATGCGTGCCGCTCATGCGAGAATCCCCTTTTGAACAAACACTGCCTTGCATCCTTCTTGCAAATCACAAGAAGCGCGAATCTAGATATGATCAACAAATTCGACAACCTCTACAACGCTAACACACTTTTTCAAAAAGGAGCTGCCCCCTTTCCGTGAACAAATGCACAAGCTTGCGCTACTGGACGTTGAATTTGAAGGCGCCTCAAGCGATCACCCAATCTTGAGAATAATCTACCCTCCATCCGTGCAGCTGGTCTATATACATATATATTGTACATGTTCAAGCTTCTGGTCTTTTAATCTGAAGATATCGCAGAAGAGAACACCATTCTGAAAAGGAGTAGCACTGCATCCTTGTAGCAGCTGCAAGCTTGTGAGACGAATGTTGGCGGGGCTGAGGAGAGAGCCCCACTTTGAAAAGGGCCCGCCTCAGCCCTTGTAACTGCTGCAAGATTTGAAAAATAATGTCCGCAGCGCTCGAGCAGGAGTCCCACTTTGAAAATGACACCCTCCGTCCTTGTAGCTGTTGGGACTGTCCAGCTTCATGCCCATGCAGGTCTCAGGTGAAACCCGCCCAATCGACACGTCTAAAGGAGGATAAGCTATAAGAGGAAAGTGCATAGATGAGAACGAGGAGCAGGGGCGAGGAGGAGAGAGAAGAAGGATGGGGAGGACGCGAGTGGAGGGGGAAAGGAGGGAAGGGGAAGTTGAGGGTGGACGGGGGGATGGAGGCAAGGAGGGATGAAGGGGCAAATGCGGGCGAGCGGGGCACGGCGGAGGAGGGCAAAAAGGAGGAGGAGGAGGAGCATGAGGAGGATTTCCTCGTCCTTCCTCTTCATACAACTACTATTCGTCCTCCTCCGACGTCAACCGAATCTCTCTCCCTCCTCATCCTCCTTCTACGCCCCCTCCGCATCCAATTCCTCCTCCTGTCTCCTTCTCGTCCTCTCATCCGCCTCTTCCTTCCCTTTCTCCCTCCTCCCTCTCCTCATCCATCTTTTTTGAATCTCCTCCCTGCGCCTCCTCCTCCTCCTCCGTCCGTCTCTTTCCCTTGTATTGGACCCCTCCCTACTGCACTCCCAGACGTGTCGGTAAGGCGGGCCAGGCGTTTCGCCGGTCATCGTTTATGATCCTGGCGCTTGGAATTAGCAACAGCTTTAAGGTTGGAAGGAGGCTTCTTTTACAATGTGGGTCTCGCTTCAACGCCGCGCACATTCGTCGCAACTTTAAAGATGGAAGGTTTTTTTTGAATTATCGCCTGAGCGCCGCGCGTATCAGCTTCATTGGTGGGGAACGGCTCCTTTCCAACATTTGACTGCCGCCTTCGCGCTGCACACGCTCGTCGCGCAAGGTTGGAATAGTGACACGAATGATGGCCAATGCTTTAAGCATTGAGATTTGGCTGTAGAGTTCTCTTGTTTTAGAGACCTGGAACTTGAGCAGATGCAACAGCTGCGCGGATACAGGGCGCCCCCCTTTCATAATTGGGCGTTTGGCTGCGACTTCTTTCAGTCTACAGACCAGAAGCGTGGACATATGGGACAGCTACACGGATGGAGGGCCGCCTCCCTGTAAAAATGTGGCCTTCGCTTTAGAAACCCTCGACGCTCATGGCTAGAAATACAAAAAGGTGCAAGAGTTACACAGACGGGAATGGCCCTTTTTTAATCGGAGATATCGTTCGACACCTCTTTGAACTGTATGATCATGCTGTCGTGCTTTCCTTATCACTCGCTGGACGGGCACAAAACGCTTAGTTCCTTTTGAACGCAAAACTCTCGCGCGAATGGCAGTCCCGTGGGTATTTCCGCAGCGTTGGCGCATCTTGGATTTATTCGCCTCCTCCTCTTTTTTTACGTTAGGCCGACCTGAGGTTGCCCTGTAGCCTCAGTCCTCCTCCTCGTCTTCCTCCTCCTCCTCCTCCTCCTCCTCCTCCTCCTCCTCCTCCCCCTCATCCCCCCCCTCCTCCTCCTCCACCTCCTCCTCCTCCACCTCCGCCCTCCTCCCCTCCTCCACTCCTCCTCCTCCTCCCCCTCCCCCTCCCTCTACCTCCCCCTCCTCCTCCTCCTCTCCTCCTCCTCCTCCTCCTCCTCCACCTCCTCCTCCCCCTCCTTCCTCCTCCTCCCACCTCCTCCTCCTCCTCCTCCTCCTCTTTCCTCCTCCTCCTCCTCCATCCCATCGATCAACCCCCTCCTCCTCTCCACCCCAACCCCCTCCTCCTCCTCCCCCTCCTCCCCCTCCTCCTACTATCCTCTCCTCCTCCCCCCTCCCCCTCCTCCTCGCTCCCCCTCCTCCTCCCTCCTCCTATCTTTCCCTCTCCTCCCCCTCCGTCCTCCCTCTCCTCCTCCTCCTCCTCCTCCTCCCTCCTCCTCCTTTCCCCTCCTCCTCCTCCTCCCCATACCCCCTCCTCCTACTCCTCCTCCTCCTCCTACCTCCCCTCTTCTCCTCCCTCCTCCTCCTTCTCCTCTTCCACCTCTTCCTACCTCCTCCTCCTCTCCTCCTCCTCCCCTCCTCCGCCCTCCCTTCCACCTTTCCCTCCTCCTTCCAACTCCACTCCTCCTCCTCCTCCTCTCCTCCTACCTTCCTCCTCCCTCCTCCCTCTACCCTCCCCCTTCCTCTTCTCCCCCTTCTCCCTCTTACTCCTCCTCCACCTCCTCCTCTCTCCCTCCTCTTTCCTCCCCTCCTCCTCCTCCTCCTCCTCCTCCTCTCCCCTCCTCCCCCTCCTACTCCACCTCCTTCACTCCTCCCCCTCCTGCTCCTATCCTCCTCCTTCCTCCTCCTCCCCTCACCTCCCTCCTTCTCCTCCTCCTCCTCCTCCTCCTCCTCCTCCTCCTCCCCCTCCTCCTCCTCCTCCGCCTCCTCCTCCTCCTCCTCCTCCCTCAAGCCATTTCGGCACGAGCATTTTGTTCGGGCATCCCCAGTACCTTCGCGAGGTGCTTGAGGGAGCTCGGCAGCTGATTCATCCACATTCAATTTCTGAGCACGAAAGCTGGGAAACATTACCTAACAGCTTGTTCTGATAGGTTTCTAGTGGGGTCAAAAGAGACCAGCAGATGACTCCACAAGGGGGTCTGGGCGGGTGCCGGACAGGGTGCCGCAGAAGTCGTTTTAAGCCAACAGTCACACACTTCGTGCTCTTCGACCTCCCAGAACTCCATTCCCGGGCCACATTCTGAATGCCCGGAGCCAACTGTAGGCCACTTCGTGCTCCTCGACTTCCCAGAACTCCATTCCCGGGCCACATTTTGAATGCCCGGAGCCAACTGTAGGCCACTTCGTGCTCTTCGACTTCCCAGAACTCCATTCCCGGGCCACATTTTGGATGCCCGGAGCCAACTGTAGGCCACTTCGTGCTCTTCGACTTCCCAGAACTCCATTCCCGGGCCACATTTTGGATGCCCGGAGCCAACTGTAGGCCACTTCGTGCTCTTCGAGTTCCCAGAACTCCATTCCCGGGCCACATTTTGGATGCCGGAGCCAACTGTAGGCCACTTCGTGCTCTTCGAGTTCCCAGAACTCCATTCCTGGGCATGATTTTGAATGCCCGGAGCCAACTGTAGGCCACTTCGTGTTCTTCAAGTTCCCAGAACTCCATTCCTGGGCCACATTTTGAATGCTGAGGCAGGCTGATGCTGCAGCCGAGGCAGGCTGAGGCTGAGGCAGGCTGAGGCTGAGGCCGAGGCTGAAGGCAGACTGAGGCTGAGGCTGA